CAACTCAAAACATTCTATGATTCTATGATTCAATTACGCCAGATTTATTTATATATTCAAGAGAGGGAGGAAGTTAAGACCTGTAGTGAGCAGGGAAATATCTTGATTTACAGGAGTCAGACTCTTCAGAGAAAACAACTAATGAATGTCTAAATGCAGCTCAATTCCTCTTCCCTTAAAGGAGGAGTGGATTCTGAATACAAGTGTTGCAAGTATGGGGCCACCCCCAGATGTAAAACTCTGGGTTTTTTCATAGAATCACAGGATTGTTTAGGTTGGAAAAGACCTTTAAGATCCTCAAGCCCAGCAGTTACCCTAACCCTGCCATCCCACCACTAAACCCTGTCCCTAAGCACCTCGCCTGCCCGGCTTTTAAATACCCTCAGGAATGGGGACTCAACCCCTTCCCTGGGCAGTCCCTTCCAGTGCCTGACAGCCCTTGTGGGGAAGGAATTTTTCCCAATGTCCAACCTAACCCTGCCCTGGCACAACTTGAAGCTGTTTCCCCTTGTCACATCTCCTGTTCCCTGGGAGCAGAGCCCGACCCCCCCCTGCAGCTCCCCCCTCCTCTCAGGCAGTTGTAGGGAGCGATGAGGGCTCCCCTCAGCCTCCTCTTCTCCAGGCTGAACCCCTTTCAACCATTAGCAGAGGAAACAGTTTTGAAAGTGTACAAACTCCAGGTGAGAACTTTTACAGGGAAATTTCTTTGGGGTAAACTTGGAACTCATACCCTGTGAGCTGGACAAGATTTAGTTATTTTTACAATATAATTTTTAAAGCTTATGTAATTTACTATAAAAAAGCCCTCTTGCATATCAAGGATTTGTGTTTCTAAAACATAGGATCATAGAATCATAGAATCATTTGGATGGAAAAGACTTCTAAGATCATCGAGTCCAACCATATCTGTCCACTACTAAACCATGTCCCTAAGCACCTCGTCTACCAGTCTTTTAAATACCTCCAGGAATGGGGATTCGACCACTTCCCTGGGCAGCCCGTTCCAGTGCCTGATAACCCTTTCATTGAAGAAATTTTTCCTAATATCTAATCTATAACCTCCCCTGGCGCAACTTGAGGCCATTTCCTCTCATCCTATCGCTTGTTACTTGGGAGAAGAGAACACCCACCTCACTACACCCTCCTCTCAGGTAGTTGTAGAGGGCGATAACGTCTCCCCTGAGCCTCCTCTTCTCCAGACTAAACAACCCCAGTTCCCTCAGCCGCTCCTTGTTAGGACTTGTGCTCCAGGATATTTTTGCTGATAAAGTGACTGAAAGCTTTCAGTTCAACACATTTCCTTTCATAGATCACCTTTCTCGTAATGTAAGTCATGTGGACAAGGAGAATTTGTCAGACCTAAAATATTCCTGCCTTAATTCTTCCAAGCTGAATCAAATTCAGCAGAACCACGAAATTGTGACTAAAAAAAAAAGGGCTACGGGCTTTGGTCTGGGTCATTAAAAAGTCTCCCAGGCAGAATACTGCATTCCTGGGCGTTGGTGGCACCATCCTAAACCTGGATGATACGAGGAGTTGTGGTGGTGCATCCCAACCCCTCCATGCTTTTTCTCTATTTGACCACTTTACAACCTCAGGAATTCCCACCAGACCTTGGACTTTGTGTAATGAGTTGGTCAGTTAAGCGCCCCTTAATTGTACCAGGAACTCCCACAAGGCTGAGGTAGAGAGTGGCACTGACCGTACTGGAAACACTGGTTTACTGGTCAAGGTAGGAAGCGAGAACGGGATCAGTTATCCCCTCGGGACATACCTCCACCTGGGTCACAACCCAAGCGAAGCGGTGCCGCTGTTACTGGAATTCCAGTAATTACCAGCTGGACTGTGGTCAGGATGAAAGGTTACTAATGACTAACGCCAATCACCTCATGACCCTACAAACAGAGGTCCTAAGTGGTACCTTTTGCGCTCTCCTGGAACACTGCAGCATCTCCCTCTGAGTGGAATACCCCTCAGACAAAAGACACACACCCCCCAAAAAACCCCAACACCCAAACTTTCAAAACAAAACCAGAAAACCCCAAACAAAGCACATTATTATGCTGCCACACATTAAAGCTATGGGAAATCCCTTTTTTAAGAATTTTCGGGCCATAGAAAGAGAGACAGCAGTCTCCTGAGAGCACTAAATGCTTGTTTACGGGATGGCCAGGAAAATGGAAGGATAAAAATCCCACCACTACCAAGATCCAGATTTCTAGAGGGAAACCCTCAAGTGTGTGATAGAAAAGAAATACCCTGCTAAGTTGCTCATGACATGCTTCTACGTCTTACTGCGGTGCTTTCTGGCTGAATGCTGGTTGGAGAGAGAATATTTTTGGACAGTGGGATGAGAAGGAACGTCCCTACTTGTTCCAGCTAGGAGTATAAAGGGATGAATTCCTCAATTCCGAGGGCTGGAGCCCCTCTGCTATGAGGACAGGATGAGAGAGTTGGGGATGTTCAGCCTGGAGAAGAGAAGGCTGCGAGGAGACCTGATTTCAGCCATTCAGTGCTTAAAGGGAGCCTATAGGAAAGAAGGGGACAATCTTTTTAGTAGGGCCAGCTGTGCCAGGACAAGGGGTGATGGTTTTAAACTAAACCAGGGGAGGTTTAGTCTGGAGACAAGGAAGAAATTCTTTACACTGAGGGTGGTGAAACCCTGACAGGGGTTGCCCAGAGAGGTGGTGGAGGCCCCACCCCTGGGAACATTCAAGGCCAGGTTGGACGGGGCTGTGAGCAACCTGATGTGGTTCAAGGTGTCCCTGCTCCCTGCAGGGGGGTTGGGCTGGGTGACCTCTGGGGGTCCCTTCCAACCCAAAACATTCTATGATTCTATGATTCTATGAATCAGGGAGCAAGAAGCTATTTTCCTGGCAGCTACCTTTTCCCCAATCACACTATCCAATCCCCTTTAACACTATTGGACGTGGAAAATGCAATCACAGGCTTCAGTGGTAATAAAGATATGAGGACAAAGGTTCCCCACAACCATATCCCATAGAGAAGTCTTAAGGTTCTCACTAGTGAGGTAAGGAATTATATTTTTGCTAAATCCATGAAGAAACCCCATTGCATTTACTATGATACTGGAATTAACTGGTGTGGATTTAAACGGTTACGCTGACGGGAATGAACCTGCCTGCTGGAGATGCATTATTGCCATTTTCAGGTGGGAATACCCCTCTCTGAGAGCACTTGATTTTCTCAGTGATCGGAGATGTGAGGAAAAACACAGAAAAGCAGGGAAAATCGGGAGCCGTTATGTCTATAATTAAGTGGCGTCGCGCCCTTTCAGCTCAGCAGCCGGTTTGAGTTACGTAA